TTAGAAAAAAGGATATTACTCCAATTTAATTGTAACTCAATAATGTTAATTTTATATATCAAAATAATTAAAATATATGAAATTTATTGCATCTAACCCTTCGGACCTAGTGGCATTAACCACATTGAATAAGTGCAACCCCTCCCCTTGGGCGTGGTCGATCCCATCCCATATCAAATTATTCAAATATATATATATGGAATTTATTTGCATATGCACTGTATATTTATATTTCATTTTATCATTTGTTTAGTATATTCAATTTATTCTTTTGTTACTAAGTAATTGTAATTTTTAATCAAATTCCTAAGGGTAACTGATGCAAAATATCTATTGTAATTAAATATTTCTATTACAACTAAACTTCTCATAGTTGGAGAATATGTAATAATGAACTGAAAACCCTAATACAAACTACATAAAATTTAAAAAGACAATAATAGGTTTTAAGCATTCGAAAGGGTACAAAAATATTGTCTTATATCTAACTTAGTCTGATTTAATTCTTATATTGTGTTAATAAATGATTATGCACAATATTTAAAAGTCAAACATTTACTAAATCCATATAGTTCAAAGGTTATTTGACTTTGAGATTAGTTGTTCTATTGTGCTTTTTATTTTATGATCTAGTGATACCAAAATTTTCCGTTTTAAGTTTATAGTGAACGAAATATATGTTCCACCTTGTTTCAGATTTATGCATTATTATTGGATTCTTCCTTTCAATGGGGTAGAGGGATGGGGAGCTAGGGTTATATTTTAGACCCCTTGTGATGTTCGTAGAAAGGAGCAAGTGGTGATCGCTTCGTCCATCACGTGGAGTATCCATATTTTTTTTCCCTAATAGATGTGATCGATCGTATTGAAAGGGAAAAGATTAGTTACTTTGTTCGAATTTTTTTTATGGGCATTAAGAATGGTGTTGGCTGAACATGACCTTTGGTTTAGAGAAGTAATTCTAGTTGCTCGCGATTTTTATTTTTATTTTATTTTATTTTATTCTCATTCTAAGTCGATTTTTAAAATATTATTAATTTTAAAAGTGTTTTATTAAGGAAGATGAGATATCAAAATAATAAATTTAATTTTTAATATAAGATATAAATAAAATTATATATTTTATTAATATTTAAATAACACTAAACTGGTAACCGTATTATACTATTGTATCATTATTGTGAACTTTGTTATTTACTTAAAATTTTACTAATGTTTTATGTTTTATTTCTCTCTCTCTTTTTTTAATATTATGAATAATGTTTTGAATGGAATGATGCCTATACTTCAAAATGAGGAGCATAATGGCATTATTCATATTGCAAGTTTCATTATGCTCTTAGTCAAAATTTAAAAATATAAATGTTTTTTAACATTTCTTTTTTAGAATAAAAACCTTAACTAAGTACTTTGGTTAACAATATTTCTTAGTTAGTACTTTCATTTATCACTTATTCTTATTTGTTCTTATGTTTTCAAAATAAAAAGAAAAATCAAAAAGCAAATTTTGACACTCTAGATCAAAATTGTGCAAGCTAACGTAATTGATTTATTTTTAATTAGGACATGGCTCGAAGAAGTTGGCAAGGTTTACTTCCAAAATTTTTTTCCAACACTACTGCTACTTATAACACATTTTGATAATTTGTTGGGGATAGGAAAAGGAGGATATGCTATTGGCCTTGGGAGAGGAGGAATTAACAAGGACTACAAAGAAAAAACACAACTTCAAGCCAATATTGATAATGCTAATAAATATGTTGATACCTTGGAATAGGAGATGAAAAGATTAAGGGCTGTTTCATATTGCTTCCAGGAGTTTTAGCTTTTTAATATTATTCATGTTTCATAAGTTTAAATTTTTTTTAAAAAAACTTACATTTAAAAAAAAATTAATCTTAAAAAGATCTCAAATAATAAAAATTCAAAAGTTTCAAATTCAAACTCTTCATAATCTTTCTTTTTATTCACTTTTTACTATTTCTAAAAGCAACTTTTCAATTTTTCTTTCAATAAAAATTTAAATTTATCACTTATGAGCCGTACAAAAAAAAGTAAAAGCTCCAAGAAACACTACCAAACAGGCCTAAATGGGTTTATAAATAATCAAGAATAGTGTAAATTGTCGTTGCCAGAGGAAATAGATGATTTAAAGAAAACCTTGGTCAATAATATAGTCAATCTTCTACCAACATGAATCCGTACTCATGTTGAAAAACTCTTTGTCCAAATATACAGGTCATCTCAAACAAAATATAGAATAGAGAGGAGGAGTTGTTCATTTACAATTAGGATTTTTGGATATTTATTTTTATTATTTTAAATATTAATTTAAATTAGAACAATCAAATCTTTTTCCATTTTAAATTGATTATTAGTATATTATATAATAATATTTTTTCACATTCATTTTTTTCTAGATTAATTTTATTTTATGACAAAATTATTCATATTATTCAATATTAATAATTATCAATTCACCGATTTTAGAAAATTTTAAATTCAATTATTATTATATTGTATATTATTAATAATTTTTTAGTGATGAAATATTAAGTTAGAAATGTATGTTATAATTACATAAATGCCTTTTGTAGTATTTATTGGTTTGGGTAATTGGAGAATAAATTTTCTATCAGAGATCCTTTATTGCTATTATGATGATTTTTTTGTCACATAAAAGTAGCAATTGTGTTGAAATTTTTTTGTCACAAATATTAATATGTGACCAAATTTTTTGTCATATTTGTGATGAAAATTTTTATGACAAATAGTGTTTTTGTGACAAATAAAATTGTCACAATAACACATTAACAATGTTGATTTTTTTTTTTTTTTTTGTCACTTTCATGTGATAAGTGTCAAATTTATCACTGGCATTAGTAACAGAGATTTTATTAATAGTTTAAATTTTATCATTAATTCTAGTTTGTAACAAAAAATAAAGATTTAATGACCAATAAATTAATTGTTAGATGTGGGGTTTTTTTTAAATTTTTTTGGTAGTAAGACTAATAGAGTAAAAATTAATTATATCAAATGTCATTATTAAAATACAAAATAAACTTTTTACACAAATAAAGAATATGTAAAATCTACAATAACTATAATAAAGAGTATTGATATTTTATAATTTGAATTGTAAAATAGAAATTATTAGATGGGAGATAACTCCCAATATGAGGGGTTCATATTATCCAATGGTTTATGTTGTGTAATTTAAAGTAGTCTAAACTACATAATACTTTTTTTTTTACAATAAATGTCATTAGACAAAAGATAAAATAACTTTTTTGTACCAATACAAAATAAATAAAACTTTTACAAAAATTACACTAGTTTTCACTAATCAACTTAAAACTTTTACCAACTAAAATTTCGTTAAAAATTTAAGGACAATTTTTATTTTTACTCATATTGTTTAAAAAGTAGTAAAAAATAAAGTAAAATTTTTGTAATAAAATAAATAATTTAAGTTAAAAATAATAATAAAATTAAAATTAAAATTAAAAAAACTATTTATTTCTTTTTAAATAAGGCCAAAGCCCCTATTTGCACCCTCCATTTATTTGTTTTCCGTGGTCAACACCTTCTAAAATTTTTCCTCCCTATTAACACCCTCCATTTTTCAAAACCCGTAAAAAACCCAATATTTTAACGGGCCGTCACGGTACCGTTAATAACTGTTAAAAATGATAATACGTGGCATTAAACAGTAACATAATCCAACGTGGACTTTTTTTTGATGATATGGCATAATTAATCCATAATTAATTTTAATTTTTTCATTTTCTTCTTTCCCGCATCATCTTTACCATCTTCCTCTTCATCCTCCTGGGTTTCTCATGGAACCAGAAATCCAGAACTTTATGTCACATTTATTAATACAATGTTGGACTTTTTTTATATGTGTTATAATCAAATTATCACTAATTTTAATTTCTTCATTTTCTTCTTTCTCAGCATCATCTTCACTAGCATCATCTTCATCATCTTCACCATCCTTGTCCTCATCCCCCTCAGAAACAATCTCCAAGCAAAAAAACTCACATTTCCAACAAAAAAATTATTCCAAATTGCTTTGCATAAAATCGAAGCTAAGATAAATACATTTAAAATAAAAAAATCAAAAAAAAAAAAGTTGGAACTGGGTTCCTCGCGCAAGAGCCCAGAACTGGGTTCCGCGCAGGAACCCGAACTGGGTTCCACGCGGGGAACCCAGTTTCTGGGTTCCACGCGGGAACCCGAACTGGGTTCCCGCGCAGGAACCCAGTTTCTGGGTTCCGCGCAGGAACCCGAACTGGGTTCCCCGCGAGGATGGTGAAGATGATGCCGAGGATGAGGGGAGAAAGAAAAAAAAAATGCCATTTATGTAATTGTTTGGTAATATTATAATTTTTTATTATTTTTATTGTATACGTGGCGTCCACGTTGGATTATTAACGTTACGTAGTGCCACGTCAATTTTTGGGTGCCACGTAACATATTTTTTAACGGTGCCGTGACGACCCGTTAAAATATTGGGTTTTTTACGGGTTTTGAAAAATGAAAGGTGTTAATAGGGAGAAAAAATTTTAAAAGGTGTTGACCACGAAAAACAAATAAATGGAGGGTGCAAATAGGGGCTTTGGCCTTTAAATAAAATAATTATTATTATTCTAGAACATAGAATTACCCTTTAGATTTTTGTCTTGAATGGGAATTCTCTTGCCGGAGCCAGACGACCCCAACATGTACGGCAAACAGGTTCCCAATGTGGTTATTTCTGCTATAGAATACTCCAAAATGGGACTACTTTAGTGTGAAGAAAAGCAAGAGGATTCAATTGAAATATCAATATAATACTAGGGACCAAACGAGAAATTCTACCGAAAATTACAAAGTCAGATTTGCTACTTTTTCAAATGCCTCATCCATCTTGGATGGGGGAGGGTGGAACTGCCTATAAGAAGGGGCTCTCTCATTTCCAATTACCCTACACTTCACCACTGCCTGCTGCTGCCATGCTTTCCTCTTGCGACGTGCTCCGACGCCGCACGACAACCGCCTTGGCCGTTGTTGCTCTCTCTGGTCTCCTCCTTTATGCCTTCGCGGATTCCCACAGTTTCCTTCGTCTATCCACCATTTTCTCTTCCTCCTCTCTGTTCAACAGCAGCAATTCTTTGACTTCGGTTAGTTCCATTCCCTCGTTCCTCTTAGTTTTCTTTTTTGTTTGTTTAGATTTCTTATATAGGAAACTCAATTTTACTGCTTGAATTATAAAATAAAAATTATTAAACGAGGAAGGAACCTCTTAATATTAGGGGATTAATTTTTATTTAATAATTAATGTAATACAGTTTTATATAATTTGAACTACATTACATTTTTATCTTTTATATTCTCTTTTCAACGCAATATAATATTAGTTGTTTTTTAATCAAAATTTGTTACAAATTAATTATTATTGTTATAAATAAAAATATAAATTATCATTAAATTCTTAATTAAAAATAAAAAATATTATTGTGCTACAAAAAGAATATATTTTTAATAATTTTTATTAACAAAAAAAAGGTTGTTAATAAAATTATAAAGGTACTCCGAACCTATTTCAAAATGTTATGAATTACCGATCTGAAAAAAAATATTATGAATTACCATGGTTATTTTTTATCATTTTAAAAAACAAACACAATTTTTTTAAACAAATACAAATTTAACAGAAAAGAATTTTAACCTAACATTTAAAATTAAGGTGCACCTTTTGCAAAAGTTTTGGTGTTTTAGGTCAAGTGCAAAGTACATACACAATTTACGGGAATTCATATGCATTTGCAAGAATGAAGGAGCAAAGCATGGCGTGCAAATTAAATACTGAATTGTAAATTATTATGAATAGTATATGATAAAGTAAATGTGTTTATTAGTTAGATTTTTTTAAAAAAATTGAGAGTAAAAATACTTTAAATTATATTATTTTAATAAATGTTTATTAAAAAAATATAAAAAATTTATTTTAAAAATAAGAATAAAATAATTTTGATATTTTATTAGTGTTTTTTTTAAATAATAAAGTTTTTAATTTTTTAAAAATATAATATGACTGATAAGCCCTACTTTTCTATTATAATTAAAGTAATAGTATCTTTGAGTTTAAAGAAATCGAGGGGGAAAATGAGTCTTTTAACTAATTAAATTATAATATTTTTAAAAATTATAATTTAATTAGTAAAAAACTCTTTTCTTCTCTTACGTTTCACTCAAGCCAAATATAATATTAAAAATTTTTTAATTTGTATCTTTAAAATACATATGAAAAATATATTTATTATATGTTTTTATCATTAATTTATATAAAAATTTACTAAAGTAAAATTTATTTTAAACACTAATACCACATGTAACTTTTTAATTAAATAATTAATAAAATCATAATTAACTTTTATTTTTATATTGATAATAAAAAAAAATACAGTAAACGTATTCTTAAAGATTAAGAAATTTTCTATAAACTAAAATTGTTAACTGAAGTTCGGCAAAGGCAACGGACGCAGGTTGGATTCAAAGGACGTTATAGAAAATTTTTCCATCGAATAACCTTCATTTTGACATGTTATAGTCCCGCAGGTTTTACCTTCTTTTTCTTGTTTATTTTAATATTTTATTATTTTAATTTTTTTGTCGTCTAACTAGGTTTTGCCTAATTAATTCGTAGTATACACTTTGTGACTGGGCTTAGTGAATTGTTTAAAAAATAATTTCTCTTGGTCGGCAAATTGCTCCTACCATGGTATGCTATTATTGGTTGATATAAGAGTCTGCATACCCCTATACATTTACTATTTTTTTTTATGTAAAGTATATACAAACTAGTATGAACTGTACATATCAATATTAGAACAATGAAGCACGATATACCGTCTATAAAAAGCTTAGAAAAAACCTGCTAACTTTGTGTGGATGTAAAGTTTTAATTTTTAAATTTTTAATTAGTCAATTGATATAAGACCTTGCTAACCATTTATACATTTATAATTCTATGAGTATAAATTATCTTCCTTAGATAAATTATGCCAGCTAATTTTACATTAGTAACATTTTTGTGAAATGAATAATAACTTGTGTCACATTTTTAAAAAAAATTGTTTTCTCTTTCCCGCACCTCAATATAAATATGTTTTTTTTACTCTCATTATTGTCATCTCTCAACTTGGAGGACAAGACTTAAGGCATAATAAATGCCACAGATCTATTGTGGTGATTTGTAAATGTATAAGCCTATAAGGTTACCTAACTTTAAATTATTATAATTTTTCATAAAATTTTTAATTTAAATTGTACCCTCATAAGTCAATCTAAATTTTATAATCTCATTAATCTCTTAACAACTTGCTTTAACTTAATTAATTAATAACATAAAGTGAATAGTAATACTATTTCCTAAAATCAAATGATCTTTAGAAAAATAATTGTTATAATTTTTGATTCAACACACCTATTAATACTTATT